TGTTGTTCTCAGATGCTGTTTTTCCCATCATAACCGCGGACTTGGCAGGGGTCCCACTGTGAAAGGCAGGGTGGAGGAGCTTTGCCCCGGGACTTCGGGTGCCCCTGAGTGCCAGGCATAGGAGCAGGTTCACAGGCACTGTCCTTGGGGGCCACCTGAGGGGATGCTGCCGGGAGGCAGCCCTGCTTGGGTTCTGCACCCTTTTGCAGAGTGTGGCCTCTGCCAGCGCGCTCTCGTGGAACAAGCCTGCGAAAACCGAAGTGGCCCTGCGAGGTGCCGCGTGGGGCTGGCTGGCGTCTCCTCCTGTGCCTGTGTCCTCCCCTGGCCCCACTGTCTAGGAATTCTAATCTGCGGCAGGCAGGCCAGACAGAGTTCCCCCCGGCCCTGCCCTGGAGCCCCGGAGCGGGGGCTCCTGTTCAACCCCCACCCCGTCGGTACACTGCAGCACGCACTCCTCACGTGCACTGGTCAGTGGTCTACGTGTGCTGCTACGTCATGTGTACATTATAAACATACAGGAAAAGAAAATTTCCATTTATGTAATTTTAAAGGATGGAAGAAAAATAAAACCATGATAAATTTGCTTTTAATCTTACTTTGTTGAAGGTATATGTCACTGATATACTCTTTAAAAACAAAAATAAAACTTGTGTATCATTTCTGACACGGTGATGCAAAGGTGTGTCCTGAGCAGAGTGCATTTCGGTACTTCATTTTCCGTTTCCCTCGCTGAAAACTCACTTTCAAAGAAGGGGAGACGCGGATGCGACGGCGGCAGCATCTTTGTGCTTCCAGAAATCCTGATCGCCACTTTCCAAACCTCCACCAGTTACACAAAGGTTTTTGCTGAACTTGGCAGTTGCTCTTGAAAATTTTTCAGAAAAGTGGTTTTTTCACAAGACCACAAACCCCTCTGAAACGCTGTGTTTGGAATTCTTTTAAATAGATAAGGAAATTGTTTATAATGCTTCACTGTGCAACTGTGGGAGGGCAGTGGAGAGAGACAGGGACTTTTAGACATGGCATAGTCTTTACATTTTTGTTGGATTTTAATTTTTGTTTGTTTATTTAATTGAATTACTAAAATTATTTTTATGCGCCCGATAAAATTCACTCATTGGTGTCTAGTCCTGTGAGTTTCGACAAATACTTAATCGTGTATCCACCCCCACAGTGAAGCTGTCAGAATAGTTCCCCGTCCAATGGGCAGAGTCTCCCCTGTCCCACAGCCGTTGGCATCCACTGACCTCTCAGCCTAATGCATTTCAGGTTCGTCCACATGGTTGTCTCGGTCCTTGTTCTGTTTGTTAGAGTCCTGTTACCTGGACGTACCAGTTTGTTTATTCATTCACCAATTGAGAGACATGTCGATCGTTCCCCGTTTTGGACAATCACGAATAAAGCTGCCAGAAACATTCTCATAGGTTTCATGTAAACACAGATTTACATTTTACTCGACGAAACGAAACCGCCAAACTCTTGTCCCGAGTGGCCATTTCACATTCTTCACAGCCCTTGGTTTTGTCAGTCACGAAAGAAATTAGCCACTCTCGGATGTGTGTGGTGATACCTCATGGTGGTTTTGGTGGTGGTTGTCTTCATTTTTATTGATTGATTGACTTTAGAAAGAGAGGAAAGGAGAGAGAAACATTGATTTGTTGTTCGGCTTCTTTACGCATTCCTTGGTTGATCCTGTGTGCCCTGCCCGGGGATGAATCCCGGATCTTGGCATGAGGGAGACACTTGAACCAACTGAGCTTCCTGGCTCCTTGTGTTTTTAATTTGAATTTCCCCTAATGACCAATAATATTGAACATTTTTTCATGGGCCCGTTTGCCATCTGTTTATCTTTGTTAAAGTCTGTTCAAATCCTTTGCCCATTTTCTTATTGTTGAGTTTTGAGAGTTCTTTATATATTCTAGGTACAAGTCTTTGGTCAGATATGTGATTTGCGGATATTTTCTCCCCAACTAAGTCTTTTTTTTATTTCATTCTCTTAATAGTGTCTTTTTCAGAGCAAAAGTTTGAAATTTTGATGAAGTTCCATTGAGCGGTTTTTAAAAATAAATTGTTTCTGGTGTTGTATCTAAGAAGTCTTTTCTAAGATAAAGTCACAAAGATTTCACAAAGATTTTTCTCCTGCATTTTCTTCTGAATACCATTAATTTTTAGTTAATGTTTTATAGGTATATCAATTTTAAACTACAAAGGTCATATAAAATGAATATATTGCCAAATACCAGTTCTTTCCATAGCAAAAGTTTCTTTTGAAAAGTTCTATTTCCATTCCCTGTTAAAATGTCACCTTTACTTTTAAGGGGTAGATTTAATGTGTTTATGTTCTTGGAAAATACTGCAAATTAGCCTACTTTTTGCCACAAAGGCCAGCTAGTTTGGAGTACTCATCTTTTGCAAAAAGAAAAGTATAATTTACCTATACATTTTTAAGTTCTTTGATGTAAACGATCCTCTTTGTGGTACTTTATCCCACTACAAAAATTGCAAGGATCCTACTGTTTTTTTTGTGTGTTTTGTTTTAAATTTTTTTCCTTCATTAGTTTTTAGTGAGAGAGGAAGGGAGAGGGAGAGAGAGAGACAGAAACATCGATGAGAGAGAACATTGATTGGCCGCCTCCTGCATGCCTCTCACTGGGTATTGGGTCCACAGCCTGGGCATGTGCCCTGACTGGGGATCGAACTGGTGACCTCTTGGTGCATGGGTCGACGCTCAACCACTGACCCACACCGGCCGGGCAAGGATTCTACTGTTTAAAGATCTGTTTTTATGAGATCAGCCTCCTTATTGCCGTCCTCCTGCACGGAAATACCGGTATTCACAATATGCTGAAAGCAAGGCAGAAGGGTGCCCACCCCCACTCACACAGCGAGAGCCCCATTCTTCCTGTTAGGTGCCGGTTCACATTCAGGACACCTACCAGCAAGAGCCCAGAGGTGATCCTTATCTTGTGGCTGTTTAGTCAAACTTTTAAAGATAAAACTAAATAGATAAAATTTCTAGCATTTTTTTCTTGCCCTGGGAGATTGTCCTGTATACCTTCTGGGGTCACCGCTGCCCTGAAAAGTCTTAGCACACCACCTCTCTTCCTGTGTCCCAGTCATGCCTGGCGGGTACTAGATGAGCTGTGAGTGACAGACTTCCTGGCGTAAACGGTGACGCTGTGGTTCTTGTAGACTTCGTCTCCCCGTAGCCACCTCTTCTCAACTCTAAACTTAAAGGCCTTCACAGGTGTTCCTTAGAGGCTGACACTCTCAGTTATCCATGATGTACGACCATGGAACCATACGCGAATATAATTCTGGAGCTGGAAGGGGACTTGGAGGTCAGCTGGTCCAAATTCCTTCTTAAAATTGAATAGAAAATGAACAGATGGGGAACAAGAGGCGTCCAGAGCACAGGTGCCTGTGGGGTACCTCTTCCTGGGGAGGCCAGAGGAAGCTGAGCCGAGACAGGATTGGTAGGCAAGGAGCCTCCCCATCTAGGGGAACATTGTGGGCAAAGTTGGTGAAATGCAAGTTCCAGGAACTCCATGTGGTTTCGCCTGACTAGAGCAAAGGCTACCATGGGAAGGGAGCAAGAGAAGACACCGCGGAGGTTGGTGGGGCCAGAGGGCTCGGCGGTCTTTGTGCTCTAGGGTTGAGCTGCCAGGTTGACCAAATCTGTGGTCTGTGTCACTGGAACATTGTCTCATGCAAACACTTGGCATGGACTTTCAGGTCCCGGGTCCCAGGCTGTGATACTCATATTCATGCTCAGTTCTAGTCTGGGGGGCGGTTCCTGTGTTCCCTAGGGACGCTTCAGGACCCAAGAGAGCTGGCTTAGGTTTGAGCAGCAGCTGGGGAACATCTGGAGCTACACCTGGGAGCAAAGGCTTCTGGTATATTTGTATGTTGGAGGCAACCAACAGTTCAGCTGCCCCAAAGGCAGCTTTGCCACAAGTCAAGAATTCTGCCTCTGTCTCCGGCTGGTGGCACTGATCCCTAAATTCCTGTGCTCTTGACAATGACTGTCTCATGTGCAGTGATCTGTATCCAGTCTGGTTAACCAGTCACCCCCAGATTTCTCCAGCCACTGAATAACAGAGGCCATGGGAGAGCCCCCCTGTGCGTTTGGTAGTTTTGAGAGTGGATTTCAGGGCAGCCTAGAATATTTAATTCAGGGTACAACCGTCAGACCTCATTAAAAATGCAGGCAGCAATGCAGAACACGGCTGGCTCATGTCAGCCCGACATTTCAGTGTAACCAGAGGAGGCGAACATGGATAGGGCTGGTGTTAGTGGAAGTAGACGCCAACCGGCATGGCAGGCCGTGGCTCCTGTTTCTCCTGTTCCCCGCCACCCTCCAGCCCGAAGAAAGACACTGTATAAGCTGAAAGTTAATGGGCTTGCTGCCTAATGAGATTCCCGGGACCTAGAGGTCAGGTTTCTTCCACCTCAGAAGGAGACCTCCCGTTCAGGAGGATGGTAACTGTCCTGGGGGTTAGAATCTGCTGGAAGGCAGCAGTGACAGGAAGGTGGGTTTGGTGGTTCTCGGCCCAGGGATTCTTTGCTGCCTGCTGCAGAGTTGGACCAACAGGGCGAGCAAAGGTGCCGGCACTGGTTTCCCTGCCCAGGAAGGCAGCTCGGGAAGGCTGTGGCCAGCACAGGTGGCTGAAATCAGGTGGGTCTAGGAAAGGCCAGTGCGAATCGGTTCTCTCGGTGGATTCGTTTATCAGATGATGTCAGGAGGAAAGAAGTTTTCAATGATACCGTGGAGTTGGTGTTTTTCATATTGTCTCACCCGGGCGGCTGCAGACAGCCCTCGTGTGGGCTGCCCGGTCCGCAGCTCTGCCCTCTCCTCCCGCCACGCCAGCCACCGGCTGGACTGCTCCCCTTTCGCTGCGGCAGTCCTGGGAGGCCACCACGGTCGTGATTTGGGCTGGTTTCCGGAGCGGGTGGGTGAAAGGGACATCTAACTGTCGATCTGTGTTCTTGCATTTCAGTCGTTCCAAGGAAGTCAAGGACGAGCATACCTCTTTAACTCAGTGTGAGTGTCTCCACAGCGCGTCCATTGTTCGGTGCACATTGGAGGGGCGGGGAAAATAACACTTGGCTATGCCACCTTAAAATACCCGTGGCACGTTCCTCTCCACAACTGGTAGCCAGTTATCTCTGGGGAGTTTTTGGGGGGCAGCGTCTTTGGCAAAAAAGAGTATATTCACTACCCCCCAGTAGGCACATCAGAGAGCGGCGGTCTCATGGGAAGAAGCCGAAGTGCTTCTGAGAGCCTCGCGTGCAGTCCTGCACCAGGGCTGAGGATCGCCGGAGAGGGACGGGCTGCAGGAAGGCCTAGTGAGGGAGGCCCCAGCCCCTGCAGGCACGCAGTCTGCCCTTCAGGCGTTCACCGGGCTCTCCCCTGGGAAGGCAGGGAAGCTCACACGCCTGACGAGCCGAGGGAGTGGAAATGGAGCACACGCACAGCTTGAGAGAAGGCGTGCCCTGTGGAGGAGAGTATATTCGATACCCAGGGCTCGCTCACCCTCGTTATCAGGGCAAGACTGGCCCGTCATATTGGACGTTTCCGGCTACAGTCAGTCCCCAGGAAGCTCTGAGGGCCTGTGCCCATGGCTGTGGACTCCATGGTGTGTCCCCTTCAATCACCAGACGAAAAGCACCTGTTAGAAAACTTCCCAGCAAAATCGCAACCGTCAGGCCTATTTTTAGTAGACTTATTGGATCAGAACTCGCAGACCTGAAATTCACTTCAGTGGAGATTTCCATGTGGCTGCCTTTTGGGGGTTGTTATTGATTTTGGTTACAGATGATGTCCTTCTCGGTTAATTTGTTATTGGCAGCTCGGCTTGAGCGACAGATGCTGGGCACGTGACTGACTGCCGCTCTCTCTCTCTGTCCCTTGGCGCAGAGTTAACGTGGGCTGCGGGCCGGCCGAAGAGCGCGTGTTGCTAACGGGACTGCACGCGGTCGCAGACATTTACTGTGAAAACTGCAAAACCACTCTGGGCTGGAAATACGTAAGTACTGAGCCGTCTGGTGCAGGGAGGGCCGTGAAGGGGATGGCGGGGAGCCTCGCCTCAGAAGTGAGCTTTCGGTGGCCGGTGGGATGGTTTCCGACAGGACAGGAAACAGCCCAGAGGGCAGCTCCAGCACAATCCTCCGTTTGCCACCCTCGTTCCTCCCTTGTCACCGAGTCCCCTCTCCTTCCCTGACACCCACCCCTTTGCCTTTTAATGTAATAAATAGTAATAGTATTAGCACAGAGCATTTTTTGACAGCTTACTGTGTTCCAGGCACACATTGTTTTATTTACTCTTCACAGCATCCCTAGAGGGTAGGTCCTGTTTTGTGGATGGGGACACTGAGGCTTGACGAGTTAACAGTATGTCCAGTGTCATCTGGCGGTCACCTGTCTAAACCAGGATGGGGGTCCAGGTCGTGGTCCAGCTGCAGAGCCCATGCCCTCTGATGCTCCAGCAGGTGTCCCCAGAGCGTCTCTGGTCCTAGGCCCTGTGCTAGGCGTCATCCAACATTGGTAGGTACTGGCCACTGTCAGACTTAGTCACGGCTGGACTTTTCCCAACTGGACATTCGTTCCTTCATTGTTTAACTCAACACGTGTTTTCCGTGTCGTCTCGGAGCCTGGGAAAGTGAGCAGTCCTTCGCCAGGGTGGGAGGAGGTGGGCACATTCAATGAAAATAAACTCACGTTACTGCTTTTGTCATTGTTGTTGGCTGATCTCCCACAGTGCTTTTCTCCGCCCTCCGTCACTGCGGGGAGATTGAAAACAGTCCCCCTGTCTCTGGGAGGGCAGTGGATTCCGGGCCTCGGTCTGTCAGTTGCCTAAGGTCAGGGGGGCTGGCTCAGGGTTAGGCAGTTGGGGGAGCCCGAAGGAGTCGAAGCCGGCGGCAGGGATAATGCATGCCGGTGCGGTTTGTCGGTGGTAACTAGGGCATCCCTCTACAGGATTTGATAGTGGGGGAGGGGTGTGTGTGTGGAGCAGAGCGTATAGGGGAGATCTCTGCGCCTTCTGCCCCTTTCTGCTGTGAACCTAAAACTGCTCTAAAAATATGAAGTCTATTTAAAAAAGTGATGTGGAACAATGGAAGCCAGGCATAAAAGCATGCCTGCATTTAAATAAAGTTCAAAAATATGCAAATCTTAAATACTGGAGTCTGTGATGGGCAGCACTTCATCTCCCCAGAACGTTCAGGGTCAGAAGGAAGGAAACCTGCGCACAGCGCTTCGTGACGCCAGAAGGTGCAGCCCGCGCTCCGATGGCTGCCCTGGCTGTTCCTTCTGGGGAGCTGGCCTTGCCCCTTCGGCTCCCCCTGTGTGGCCCCTGGCCCCTCCGGGTGATCCGGGGGCCACAGTTCTGGGTTGATTATCCACAAATGTTCTGCCTCGTCTCTGTTTCCCAACCTCTTGGTTCCTTTCTTCCTGGCTGTGCTGGATTACAGACAATCAGTCTGAGTTGGTTGGTTTTGCTCCTCCCTTCGGGTGAAGTGACTGGCTCCTTTGACGAGGCTTTATTGGAAGCCTCCGTGCTGGCTGCAAAAGTGAAGGATCTGGTCCTTGCCCTCAGGGTGCTCTCCGTCCCGACCAGGGGGGAAAGCCACAGGTAAACAGAAGTGTGTGACAGGTACGCACAGGACAGGGAGAAATCTCTCTCCCCCCAGGTAATGATCGATCACCTCTTGTGTGCTGGGCCACTGCGCCAACCTTCCATTCCGTTATTTCTTCTGACCCTCACAGTAATCCTGCGCATTGCTGATAATCATCCCAGCTTTGTAAATGGACAGTTCATCATTCTGTACGTTGTACACAGTTAAATGATGCTTCTGGTACTGGAGCAGAGCGGAGGTCAGTCTGGCTGCTGTGGACTCCAGGTGTGGTCCTCCGTGCACTGGAGCCCATGTGACGCTTTGGAAACACCCGGTGGCTTGGGGGCTGTTGATTTTTTGTCTATGTGGGTTTTTTTAAATTTAATAAGGATACATTCTCACTTTCCTAGTTTTGTTGGTTCGTCTCCCCACCCTGAACACACTACTGTGGAACAGTAGGTCTTATTCCTGAACCACATTCTTGGCTGTATACACATCACACACACACACACACACACACACACACACACACAGCTGGGGAATAATGAAGTGTCAAGGAAGTTACTGCTGAGCCCACAGCTCTTGCGTGTGTGGGGTGGATGTGTGTGTAGGAGGGTGTGCGTGTGTGTCATGTGCATGTGTGTGTGTTGTGTGTGGGTGTGCATGTGTGGGGTGGGGGTGTATGTGTGGAGGGGTGTGGGGGTAGGGGGAGGGGTGTGGGGGGTAGGGGGAGGGGTGTGGGGTTGGGGGGGAGGGTGTGGTGTGTATGTGGGGATATGGGGGGGAGGGGGAGGGGTGTGTGTGGGAGGTATGGTGTGGAGGTAGGTGTGTGGGAGGGTAGGGGGGGTGTGGCAGGGTATGGGGGGTGAGGGTATGTGTGTGTGTGGTGGGGGGGTGGCGTGTGTGTGTGTAGTGTGTTGCACGTTCCCTCTCAGTGCCCCTCCCTCTCCACTGTGTGGAATGATTCCTGTCAACCAAAGATGTAGCGTGAACTCTGCAACCCAAAGACCCTGAGCTGTAGAACAGAAGACATAGTTGATGTAAGTGTCGCCCAGACCTATGGACAGGAGGACTTACTTCCTAACGTGGGGACTCGGGGGAAGAGCTGCTGCCCACTGCTTCTCCACACCGAGCTTGGCCATCTAATGACGGATTGCACCAAGATGTTTTAGGTAGCTCTGCCTGCGAATAAAACAGCCCTCTGCCCCCACTCCTGTGCAGGACTCCCCTCGGTGGGGCGTTTAGCAGGGAGCGTCCACGGTGCTGCGAGTTCAGGGTGGTCAGCCGCCGGGTGCCTGGTCCTGAGCGTCCCCGGGGGCCTGGCAGCTGGTGCGGCTGGACAACAGCGAGGGAGAAACACGGAGCACATCTCACAGAAACAGCAAGACCAGAAATGAAAAGACCTGTTTGGCCTCACAGTACTTTGTTTCTGTCCCTGAGTGTCTTTTTCTAAGCCGAACAAAATCCAGTTTAAAATGATGACACAGAAATCTCACAGATCCATCCACGGGGCAGATCTCTGGTGAGTGGCAGAAACCGAGTCTCCCTGAGACAGAATAGGTGTCCGTGCGCGCGTGCACAGTTATCTACTGAAGACGTGTCACATCCCAGCCGCCTTCCGGGCCCCAGGGGCACGGCCTTGATCAGAACGGAGGAAATTTCTTCTGCCTTCCGTGCAGTTGGTATTGTCGTAGAGGGCGACAGGCAATACACAAAATAGGTGTGCAAGTTAATGTCCGTTAAAAAATGATAAATGCTGTGGAGACAAAGCAAAAGAGGAGGGATCACGGTGGAAGCCATGGCGTCAAGTAGCTGAGTAGTTGGGGAAGAGCTTACCGAGACGGTGACATATGGGCAGAGATCCTAAAGAAATTCTATTATAAGTATTGACAAAGCCCTGGTGTCGCCGCAGTCTGTCGTTAATCGAAAGGGACAGAGTGCACTTCAGGTGAAGTGATGAGCATCGTCTCGGTGCGTCTGGGTAAAGCAGGGGCAAGACTCCAGTGCCCGTCACTGGCCCCGCGTGCGTTCCTGTGCCACAAAAGTCACCCGCTTGTCTGGGGTCATTCAGCACCTTTTCTCTTCCTTGTGTCTCCTAGGAACATGCCTTTGAAAGCAGCCAGAAATATAAAGAAGGCAAGTACATCATTGAGCTCGCACACATGATCAAGGACAATGGCTGGGACTGACCAGAGAGCAGCCACCCAGCCCCGTGCCCACGTGAAGGCATCCGACCGAACACCTGCCCAAGCGTGAGAGAGTGACTGGACACTTGGTTCCATCCATTTAGGGGCCTTGCCCGCGGGGACATTCTCCCACCCTGACGCCATCTTTCTGGTGACCGGCCTCTAAATCGCTGTCTCTCTGTCTCTTTGCTTTGTTCTCTGTCTGTGAGTCGATCCTGGCTTCTCTCTCTGTTCTAGTGTTGGCTGAAAACAAAACAACGAAAGGAACAGGTGCCTGAGCGCGTGGCGGCAGCCCGCCGTCGAGGGCCCGCCCGGGGCTGCGCCTGGCCTCTCGGGGAGCAGCGCCCGGGCCGCGAGCGTGCGGGAAGGGGCCTCGCGGGCCCGGCGTGGGCAGGGGACGGGAGGGTAGAGGCGGGGGCACACGTGTGCTCTCCTGGAGTCCTGGTAACTTAGGCTTGAAATAACCAAGTTGTCTAAAAGGACAAAGAGAAAAAAATACCTCATGACCGCGTCTCTCTGACCAGAAGCTTCTGTTCCTGACACCGCACGTGCCAGGTGGGCCCGTCAGCACCAGAAGTGGCCCCAATCCCGGCTGGCGGGGCAGCGGCCTGGTTCTCCTGGGCCACGCGGGGCACTCGGGGTGTCTTGGCAGCAGTGAGGGGCTCGGGCCAAGTCCAGAGGGGTTTTGACAACCCCGAAGCCCACCGCTCCGCTGGGTATCTCCGCTTCCTCCTGAGGTCACAGGTGACAGGAGGGGCTACCGCGCGCGGTGGTGGAAAATCCCAGCGTCCCAAAGGCTTTGACCAGGAACCAAGTAAAATCAGTTGTTGAGAACCGGGAGCCCAGGGGGCTGCGGTTTGGGAGCTCCCGCAGAGATGGCATAGATATTGGGCTGGGGGGGTAAAGCCAGTTAGCATTTGTGCCTGCCTGACCGTTTTTCCTGACCCTCAGTCAGAGGGGCAGGGGGGGTGGGCAGCGCCAGCCGGGCTTGAGCCCGTTGCAGGTTCCGTGCATCTGTCGTCTTCGGTCTGCAGTGGCTTCCGCCAGGTCCGCAGTCTTCGGACAGAGAGTTTCGGGTGGTTTTCTCCAGTCCTGTCTTTGTAGATTGTGGAAAACAAAGTCCCAAGGCTTTGAGCTTAGCAATAGCTTGGCTGGTTGGTTCCTCGTGCCCCTAGCAGTCCTCCTTGGACTTGACCGTTTTGTGTGGAGAGAAAACTGTCAAGCGTGGCCCAGCAGTGGGGAGGGCTTAGGGTTGATGTCAAGCACCAGGTCGCAAATTTTCATCTTACCCTGGCTCCTCACCTCCCTGTCCAAAGTTCATTCTATTAGGGGAAGCGGAGAACAAGTCGCTGGAAGGCTCACGAGCCAGGGAGGAGTTTGTTACATTTAATCAACACTGTGAAGTCTGTTCTACAGCAATTCAGCCAGTTACACGGCGCATGACCGAAACGCTCTTAGCTGAGTTCATTTCATTGCTTAGACTGAAAATATTGTTGTCCAGATGTGTGTAGGTTATGTCAGGTAATCTCAGTATCTCCTTCTCCAAGTAGGCTGATCCGATAGGCATATTCACCTTAGAAGTCTCAAAAGAGAGTGTTCACGGAGACAAGAGTCTATAAAAGTGATTAACCACGATTCAAGCAGCCGACCCAGGCCGTTTTCAGAACTGAACCAGTTGCCCCGGGGGAAGAGTCCGAGATGGAGATGTCTTCCCGTGCCCGGTGTGCTGGCTGCAGAAGGGCGCCCCGTGTGGGCCCAGCGCCCCGCGGGTCAGGAAGCAGGGCAGCTCGGGGTCCAGCTGCAGGCTGCCTCTGTCCAACGGGAGTCTCAGGCCTTGAATTTTGTTCTCAAAGGCTTCTTGCCCACATCTTTGGGTGATTTTGTAGCCCTGGGAGATGATGTTCTCCCGTTTGCTGACGTTCAGGAAAAATCTTGCATTTCTGCTCCCAGAGAGAGCTCTCCTCTGGCTCCCAGGCCCAAGATAGCCAAAAAATGTTTTTTCCACTTTCACATTCCTCAGCTGGCTTGCAGCCCAGAAATCACAGATTCCCCCGTCGGCCCACTGAAGGTAGTGGCCTTCGTTCGTGGATTTTGATCAGCCCCTTTGCTCAGGGAATATCCTGGCGATTGATACTCCTTCCCATAAAAAGAAAATGGGGCTAAACATGGGTAGATGTTTTGTCTTTAAAAGTAAATATAGAAGCCAGACATGGGGTGCCCTCGAATTTCCAAGGGACAGAGAAGACCGATGTGCCCCTGTTCTTCCTTGGGGATGGGGCCTCCTGACTGTTGCGCAGATCAGAGCAAGCCCCCCTGGGACCCTGGATTCGCTGTTTTCCATTCCTCTCCACCGAGCATCCAGGGGGTGGGCGGCGCCGTACGTGGTGCGAGAGAGCTGAGTAAAATGTTGGTTTTTCCATAACTACAGAAAAACAAAAACCCAGCCCATTAGGCTTTCCCTTTGTGTCAATGAAACCAAAAGTGCTTCTTAATGAAACGTTAGCTCCATTCATGGCTTGTCTGTCTGATGTCTGGTGGTAGCGGGGAGACCGCAGCTGAGCAGTGGAGGTGCATCGGCGCACGGCCTCAGCCCGTTCGTGCTTTCATTTTCCTCACCAAATGACTGACTCAGAGCATAACCAAAGACCTCATCCATTCACCCCGGGTAGGTTCAGGGAATTGGAGTTCGAAGAGAAACTTCGGTGGCGTTGAGGGAGGAAGCAAAGGGAAAGGGAGAAGGGAGGAAGGAAAAGGCCTGGATGTGCCTCAGCCGGCAGCTGCCTTCATTTCCAGCTGAAGTCCGGAGCAGGCTCTCGTTCCATCCTAGGTCATACGGCCTTGGTGGCCCTGGATTCCACCCGCCCCACCGCCATCCCACCACGACATTAGTCGCAGGCTGCTGATGGGCTGATTTGACAAGAGTCAAATTCAGCCAAAGCTGATGGTGACAGGTTGTCAGCTGGGCCTGAGTCCTGCCCGACAGTACGAACATGGAGATAGGCCAGAGGAGACCTCCGTGGGCGGATCGGTGCGTGAGAAAGGCACCCCCTTTATAAAAAGATTTTCAAGTGGATATATAGAAAAGAAACAGTTGCTTGTGAGTATATACTTTTGTAAATAATATTTAATTTTTTAAATAATATATTTGGTGCTGTTTTCTCAGATCCCCTGAGAGCACTTTTTATTTTCATTTTTAAATTTTACGGTTTTCTCTGCGTTTCTTGAAGTATATTTTAAGGGAAACAGTGATCACCAATGTATTCTTTTTTTTAAAAAAAAAAGATCTCTATCACATTAGTCTGGAGGCAGTAAAGCCTCTGTTTCCCCCCATGGAACGGACTCTACAGTGCTTTCCCAGGTTGAGAATCGCAATGTTTTCTTGTACTAGTATTGGCTAGAAAAGAAAATAAACATAATCAAATGCATTTAGTAACAACTTAGAGTGGAACAAATTGAAAAATTGGAATCGTGCGCGTGTGTGCGTGCGTGTGTGTGCGTGTGCGTGTGTGTGTGTGTAAAATGCACTTTGCATTGTGCCTCCTGTTTTCTTTTTTATTGGAGACACTATACCTATGGTTTACACCTTGGGCACATATGGATTTTTCTTCTCCTTCTCTCTGATGGTGGTTTTGTTTCTGAGTGAACCAACAGCACAGACCTCGAGGGTCTCGTTTTCCTGAGCACGGAGCTGTTGCCAGTTTATGCCTGTTTCTTTCTTTGTGTGCTCAGCTCTTCAGACTGTAAGGGAAGCCTGCTGTTTGTGAAGGTTGGGCAGAGTCAGATCTGTCTCGGAGACGGGAGTGTGTTCATCACATGTCCCAGGGCTCCAGTTGTTGCTGAAGCCACATCATGTTAAAACAGCAGCAAAGCAGCAATAAAAGAATGCACATACCTTCTTGGTAAACAGCTTTTTTTTTTTTTTTTTAAGGCTATTGCCTCAGGTTCAGGAAGAGGCTGAGAAATCAAATCTTAAACACAATCAACTTGCGTGTTTTTTAAAAGTCTGCCTCAAGTGAGAAAATGTGCTAATGGTCTAGGTAGAGACGACAGAGATGTTTAATTTCTAAAATTAAAATACAGTCCTGGGATCTGCCAGTAGTGACAGGTAAAGCTCAGAAGAAGCAAACTCTTCTCATTTTACCAAATTCTCTCTGCCCAGGTTTTTGTATAACATTTCAGTGACAGTGAGTTCCCTTTTCCACGCTGCAGAGACTATCTTTAAATACAGAATCTATTTATGCTTGTGTTTACAAACTATTTGTTGGGTTTGGGTTTTGTTACTTTCTTTCGTTTATCTTTTTTGTTGTTGGCATTTTTCAGGTCACTTTGCTTTAATAACAAAGATAATTGTTTTCAAATAATTTGTCCTTACCTTTTCCTTTATTTGTACATAGTGGTTCAGTATTAGAGAAAAGTACATTGTTTCTGTCATATTTCCAATCTGTGTTGGTGCTCATTTGAGAAAATAAAGTTTTCAAATATTAACTCTTTGGAGACTCATCTGTCTTAATTGACTCAGCCAGTTTTATCTTGACATTTAATATTTAAAGTAACTGAAGGGCCTGCAGGAGGTCATCCCAGAACTCTATTCACACATCTGTCAGCTGAGACCCTGAGGCATTATTTTCTCCAAGGACAGTTGGCCAATTAATGAATAAAAATCAAGTCTCCTGCCTAACCAGTGTGGCTCAGTGGATTAAGGGTCATCCCATGGACTGAGAGGTCTTGGTTCAATTCCTCGTCAGGGCACATGCCCGAGTTGCGGGCTCAGTCCTCAGGGAGCATGCAGGAGGCAGCCGATGGATGGTTCTCTCACATCGATGTTTCTTTCTCCCTTCCTGTCTTTCTAAAACCCAATAAAAAATATATATATATATATGTTTTTTTTAAAACGGGTCTCCTGCTTATCTACAAATGCTTCTGGCTTCAGACATCAGAAATGCAAGTCTGCTGAGCCCCACATTCTTAGCTCTTCTGTTTATGCCAGTGTCTTTGGAAACAAGAATGCATCAGATGGGTGGGGGGAGGAAACAAACAAAATTATGTCAGCATGATCACTGAATAATTTTTTTTTAATGTTTTTTTCTTTGTTGATTTTAGAGAGAGAAGAAGGGAGAGGGACAGAGAGAGAGAAACATCAATGAGAGAGAAAATCCACTGGCTGCCTCCTGCGTGCCCCCCACTGGGGATTGGGCCCACAACCTGGGCATGTGCCCTGACCGGGAATCAAACCAGTGACCTCAAGTCTCCTTACTCACTGAACACACATGTATTAAACATCTATTAGATTCCAGGCATG